ACCCTTTGACACTTATGTGATAGATTCCCGATCAATGGTTTTATGCAGATAGTTTGAAAAACCTGATATTCAAAATGATGCTAGGAGTTTAAATGCAATAGGGAAGCCTAAATACACAAATTTAAATACAGCATGAAAAAAAGAAACCAAATTAGAGACTCATTTTAAGTCATTTACAGGTCCAAAAATTTAGGAAAAAAGTCTTTCTGATACTGAAAATAGGGGGAAATAAGACTTATGGGACTGAATTCATATCAACTATCTGATGCATAAAATGGTCCTTAACCCAATCATTATCTTTCTTATAGCTAACTTCAAATGGTGAGTAGGAACTACAATTTCCTTTTGAAGTAATTTGAGCAAAAGTGCCATAAAATGAAATATGCTTCAGATCATTTGAATTCAGCAGCTGTAATTAAGCTGGTGCTGCAGAAATATTTTAAATGGAGACACTTTTAACTTTTCTTAGAAACTGAGCTCTTGATTCATCTTGCATCTTTCTTAAAGAGAAATGCAAATCAAGTAGAAAGATAAATAGAAATAGAAAGAGGGATTGAAAGCTCAATTTTTGCTAGTATGTAGAAAAGCTGTGAAGTTCATCATATTTGATTCAAAATTGCATGCAGTTGTGAGGATATTTCACCTGTAGTCAATCTCTTAATGCAACTGTCTTTTCCTGGGGCTTCACAAAAATTTCAGACAAGTAGTCCTGGGTACTCAAAGTAGCACTTTACTATCAAAGGTAAAGGACTGTACAGATGTACTCTCAGAGGTGGTATTCAGCTGGTTCTGGCGAACTGGTAGAGGAAATTTTGAGAAGTTTGGAGAACCGACAAATACCATCTCTGGCTGGCCTCGCCCCCTGCCTCTGCCGTTCCCTGTCCTATATTCCCTTGTTTTTAGCTCAGCTGATTCGTGCAGCGGAGTGGATTGCTGCGCCCCAGCTGAGCTAAACAACAGCTAGGCTCACCAGCACTGACACTGAGGATGGTCTTTGAATGCTTCACTCTCCTAGAGCCAGTAGGAAAAGATTTGAAATCCCACCGCTGACTATAGAGTTAAATTGACATCACTATATAGTAACTTTTAGTGATGTTATATTCAAGCAGTTATTCTACCTGATGTGTGGTTTAAAATGAAAGTAGTGAATATTTTCTTTTATGAATTTCCATGTATATATTAATGTATGAAATATTAAACTATCATAGAGTTGTTGACACAGTGCAATATTAAATGAAAGAAACAATTTTAATAAATTTGAGTGTCAAAAAATGTTGCTTGAAAAAAAAATCAAACTACTGTTGAAAATCATTGCATTTTGGCAAAATAGTTGTTTGAGAATTTTTGCAGTGGAAATAAATCAAACAATATAAGCAATTATGCTCATGACATAAATATATTTCTATATTTATTGGAAATAAATATACAAATTTCAATTTGTGATTTCAATTTTTAGTATTCAGTTATTATCTATATTCCTGAAATGTAATAATAAAAGTAATATGATGATCAGAATTGTAATGAATTTCCTCTACTCTTCTTTTGTCTTTCTTCAAAAAAGCTAACAAATATTTTATTTTTGTATGATAACTATTTTTGAAAGTTATGATTTTAATTTTGAAAATATATGTTTTTATGTTACATGCAGTTTTCTATTTAATATATTATACTTATATTTGTCCTCTCTTCTTCCTTCAAAGCAATTGCCCTTGGTCAAGAAGAAGTAGAGGACTAGTTAATCAATATTCACCTTTTAAAGTTATCTACATTTTGCTACGTAAGAAGAATTGAACTGAACTCCTTGACTGGAGAAACTTAGCTCTTTAAAATGTTGCCTTCTAAATAGAACTAATAGGCTTAGAAGTTCAGGCGATCAGGAAAGTGGAGAGATGTTTAGATAGTAAAGTTTTTTCATTGGAAAAGTTCAGTGACTGTTTTACAGGAAAAGTACAGCTATGTGACAAATAAATTGGATATAGCTACTATAAACTTCCTGTTAGGGTAAACCACTAAATGGAACTTATTTGTTAAGGACTCTCACAATTATTTCTTTTGCAGTATATTTACTGCATGTAACTAATATAAATAATTAATTAAATAAAAACGTGGCATATTTTTCCCCTATTAAATTACAATGTCAGAAAATAAGAAATAACTATGTTTTTGCCATATGGAATCAAGAAATACTGTGGTCTCTTTCTGCTTCAGAGACAAGAGCTACTTTGCAACAACAAAACAAGATGACAAGATATCTTACATTTTGAGGTCCTAATATTGCTTAGGACTTTAATGATCTCTCTCTAATAATGATTATTTAATAATAATAATAATTTTATAAAGATGTTACAACTACCAGAAATATCAACTGAAAATGGAATAAAATTTAAGATTTAACTCAGATACTGCTCATTCACTGTATTAATTATTACGGGTCAAAGGATGCATTCCTCAGATGAAAAGTATGACATTTTACCAGTGGATATGCAAAAAAGTTAAATAATTGTTTAGCTAATACTTTGTGGAGTAAAAAGAACAAAACAGATGTCCCTTTTTATTAATGATAAATTTAATAAATTTCTAAATTAGAAATTTGGTGAGGCATCTTTTAAGATTAAGTGAGAATCATCACATTGATTCATTCTGGGATTAATAAAAAGCATATATTTGTACAGAGACAAAGAGAGAACAAAATGAGCCTACTGACCCACCAGTGCTCGTGTTCTTTTATAGTATAGTTTGTGGACAGAAGATCAATTTTAGAGCTCTTAATATTGCAGCTTTCCTTAGAATTATTCACACATGCATGGACACAAATGCATGGCATGGAATTTAAAAGCATAGTATGTGCAGCACAGTACTAAAATAATAATTTAAAGATGAACAGATGTATGAACATTTATAAAATCTCATATTCCTACAGTGTCAAACTGGGAAAATAATACTCCTGCACTGAAAAAGTGTGGAAGTAATAAAGCAGTGATAACAAGTGAATTTAATTAATTTTCCACTCCTTAAGCAATTAAATAAAAATACTTAAATAAATATACTTTTAGGTACTCCTGAAATTTATTAGGTTCCTATTAAATACTGCTTGTTTAGTAGGAAAGAAAGAAGGGAGGGAAGAAATATTCAGAGAATGATTCTAATTCTGCAATTACTCTAAAACATATGATTATATCTCAGTCTCCATGTTTAGGTTGTTAAAAAAATATTGCTGTTCAGTTATGATCAATATTTTGCATTTTTAGATTAAAGTACTTGCATAATAACCAGACACCATTATTACTTTATTCTACTATTACATTAATTGCAGAGATTTTAAACTTAAGTAGCCTTATCAAATTGGTAAACACCATAAAAGCTGGTGTTATGCAATATTTTTGGACATAAATCAAAATGAGACAGTTATTTGGAGCAAAAGATTTGGAGATCATGGAAGCCATATAATTTAATTTTATTTGACTTACCATAGAAGCCATGCCCTTTCTTCTGTTGCTTTTATTTGAAGTAAATTTATTTGCATACCACAGGATTTATTAATAAGCTTATTTTTATATAAATATCCTTTTGAGAATCTTCATCTTCAATAATTTAAATATAAATAAAAATATATAAACATTTAGTTATCAAAGGCCAACTATCAGCAAATTTTACAGCCTGAAGAGTATGAATCAAAATATGCTAGAATAAGCTTAGTTTGTAAAGAATTGATACATTGTTCTATAGGAAAATGTCCAATTAATCGCTTCTTGCTTGGAATTTAATGTATGAGGTTCATCATACATTGAAGCTTTTAGATTATCTAGTTCCATGCAACCTTTTTGATCAAAACAAACATACAAGTAGCTAATATATCTAATCACCAGCATAAATTCAATTTAGTTCAGTCCTTTATAACTGCAGTATTAAACTATGATATTCTACGTAGGTTAAAGCAATCTCAATCTTAATACAGTTAGGCAGAAATATTTTCAATCATTAGTAAAATAAATTTCTTTTCTTTTACTGGGGAAACATTATTCTTTCCATCAATATTTTATTTGCTAGAGAAAGAAGAGCAAGGGGGATATTTTACTCTGTAGAAACACTAATCATAGTGATTAAAATCATGGACAATTTTTAAAAAAATCAGAGTATGATCTTTAATTTTGGTTAGTAAATTTCTTTTTCTTTATGAAAAATAAATTTCTTTTTCATATATATATATATATATATATATATATATATATATATATATATATATATATATATATATATATATATATATATATATATATATATATATATATATATATATATATATGAAAAAGAAATTTATTTTTCATAAAGAAAAAGAAATTTACTAACCAAAATTAAAGATCATACTCTGATTTTTTTAAAAATTGTCCATGATTTTAATCACTATGATTAGTGTTTCTACAGAGTAAAATATCCCCCTTGCTCTTCTTTCTCTAGCAAATAACTTTTATGCAACATCTACAGTATTAGTTTTTGGATCTTTTTCTCAATAATATTATGTTTCTTCCAATATACAATACTTATCATCTATTATAGTTTCTCGCTTCTGTATTCTTTTGAAATTAAATAAATGTATACAACATATCATTCTTTAAGTGTTTTGCTACTTTAGCTAGCAAAATGCCAGGCCAACAAAGTTACTACATATTTGAACAATATATTCAATACCAACTTATATTATACTCCTAATTGCTTAATATATACACAAGAAATTGTTTACTCATCTGAAGAGCAAATAACAATGAATGATTCCATTTTACATATTTCTTATATGAGTAAACATTTTTTCTGTAAATGAAGCTTTCATCATTCTTCATTGATGACATACTTGTTTTCAATATATGAACTTCATCCAACAATTCAATAAATAATGAATTCAATGCATTCTGCATTGATAAATGAAATTCAGTTAAAAGCTGGACCCATATGGCTGAGCATAGTTCAAAACTTTTCTTGGAACTTAATTAAAACAATAGTCTTACCATGGCATGAACCATCTACTTCTTCATAGCCAACACTGCATATGCATCGTCCTAAAGGTACTAGCCAATCCCCATCTGCTCCACAATATAACTTTGGAGTATCCCGTTCTTCAGCACTCTTCACACAGGAACCTCGTACTTCCACTAAAGAAGAAGAATCAACCCTTGGAATGGTGTCAGGAAACATAGCCAAGTTCCGAACAGTGAAAGGACACTTTTTGTAGTAAACACGGACAGAAACCAAAGCAATGCATGCCCCAATATCTTGAAAGGCAAGAAAAAATCCTTTCCGGTTTATTGGTCCCACCTCACGAATTTCTGTATTTAGTTTCAGGATGCGATCTCCCAAATCCATCTGAGTGAAACTCTCATCAGCTGCAATAGTATCAATTTTGCTGTATTGGTTTGGCTTGAATTTAATTCCATGAGATTCATCTGATTCCAGATAGTAAAGGTTGAATGTTTCTTTGCATGTCCCCAGCACCCATGGAATGCTGTTGCAGTCCCTCAGTGTAAATTTCATTTCCACATAAATTTTCTGGGCGGCATCACGCGAGATCCAATTTGTACGAAGCCAGTTGTTTTGGTTCGGTTCCATAACATTACATACCTGGTATGTGTGGATAGGACGATTATATTCATCCATTTCTGTTATAGCGTCCCACTAAAAAGAAAATACATTCTATTGAGAAATCATCAAAATAATCAAAAACTGTAGGCATGTTTTATTTATATTAATTCAAAAGATCATAACGTTGCTGATATATTGATATTGAATTGAAGAACTGTGACAAAACTGAAATTGCCAGAAGTAGATTACTATCATTTCAAATGGTTATTTCATTTGAGGGCAGTACTTTATCAAAAGCATGCAGGTACCACCCCAAATACTCTGTGATAGGCTCTGGAAGTAGATTGATTGTCTGCCATTAATCTGGATGGTTGTTTGCACCAATGCTCTCCCTTCAGGAAAAATGAAACACAATTCAACAGAGACATTTTGAACTCCATTTTTTCTTTTCTTTTCTTTCCAGTAGCTGCTTTTTAAAACAACTTTGGCAACATTCCCAAAGCTCTCAGTAATTCTCAGTAATTACTGAGCACATCTCTGCTTGGCCCATTCTCAGTCTCAGTATTCAGTACAGGTTCAAAAGGGTAGGGATGTGTAGTATGCCTAATATTTTAATAACACATAGACATGGATATTAGTCCTTGGAGAGAAGAATTTGACATTGTTTCCAAGGACAAAGGAAGAAAGATAATATACAACTATTTTATTAATAATCTTATGGTAAAAAGAAAAGAAACTTTAAAATAAGGCATATTTAAGACATAACTAAGAAAATAAGACTAAGTCAAATTGAACAGGATATTTATTAAAGATTGGAACAATATATTTTGCAAAAGAAGTAGAAACATGAAAATAATGGAAATTCAAAAATAAACTAACTAAAAGAGGGTCAAATGCGGACAGGAATGAGCATGCAAGTAAAATAAATCTGTCAAAATCTCTATTTGCTACAGAAACTGCCATCATTCATGACAAGAGTCTGGACAACAGTGAAGTTAAATAAGAATAGGTGAAAATAAGATCTATCTTCACTTCATATCTTTTCACCTATCCAAAAGAATACAAATGGGGATATCAGTAATGGACCGATGGCAAGAATCATTCTGATTTTAAGACAGATTTGTTGATCAGTGAAGACATTATGTTTCTTTCTCCTATCTTCAACAAGGCATAAAACACCAGCAAATGATAAAAAGCTATTGATAAAGCTTCTGCAGCCCAGTTATCTTTAGTGCAGTGAAATTACATAGTACTGAAGCTTGGCTGAGGCTTTTATTATAAACATCTGTTGAAAAGGTAAATTCCAGATGACTGATAGAGATCAAATACTTCTTTAAAAAAGGGGGTTGGAGGAGGGGGAAAGGAAAATACAGAAAACTACAGATTAACCAGGACAATTTGCTGTGAGGATTCTAGAGCAAGTATTTAGAAACTGATCTGTAAATAATGAAAATAATGCAATAATTACCAAAAATCAGCATGGCTGAGTAATGAATTATTCTTGCCAGAGTAATGTAATCTCATTTTTTCACTGATATTTTTCCTAGCAGATTCTGGGAATGTTCCACAAATAATATACATGCCAATAATGCTAATTTCTAAGATATTAAATTGGCTCTATAGCATGACAATTATGTGAATTTGTTATTGGCTTGAAAATAGCTGAAGGAATTCCAATTTATTAAATTTTGACTATGTGAAGGTTGCTACATCTAAAGTAAAATATAGCCTATTTCATGGCTTTATGGGACATACTATCTTTTCTGTGTGCCTGTAAGGGGAAACCTGGTATATACATAAAAGAGTCATGATAGGTTTATCTTTCTTATTTCCATGAAAACAAAAATCTGATGTCTTCATTGCTATACTTGGAAACAAACTCCAAATTTATGATATATACATATAAAGATTTTTGTGTGATCTTTGTGAGGTGCAATACATGTGAAAAGCATTCTTTCTGGATACTTACAATAATAGCACAAAACAAAAATAAGCAAAAATGTTAATTTAATACTGTTCTGGAAGATCTTGTGGGATGAGTCTGGGACTCTCCCTAACCTAGAAGAGTCATACAACCATCAATTGTTCTCTGTTTGAAAATTGAAAAAAAAACTTTCTGGTCTAATAGATAACTAAATAGATAGCTCCATGTTTTATATTTGTTATATTTGTAAAATTTGTTTTCTTGCAGATTTCAGACTAATGTCTTTGAAACAGAAGAAGAGATGTGCCATATAAATTATTATTACTAACATAGCAATAATTAATTTCTGTTAATGTATTGAAAAATCATTCAAGTTATATCAAGTAAGAGTTTTTGCCAATAGGACTTCACGGGCATTGGCAGTAAAAGTGCTTATCCATATTTCTTGTACCATAAAATTCTAAACAGATTCTGTTTCATAAAATCTAAATCTAGATGCAATAATATTAGTTCCTAATGTTAATTGCAAAGATGCATTTATTTAGTTGACAAGGATAATGATCAGGTCCAAGAATATTTGTTGTATTATCATCTCTTGAAACTTTATTGTGATGCTTATTTTTAAAAAATACTAAAGTGCCTTGTTTTTTATTATATTTGTTTTAAAA